CACAGCAGGGAGCGGGGCCGGTTCTCTCCCGGTGCCGTCTCGCCTCTCCCGGGGCGGCGGCGCTGGCGGCGGGGAGCGCTTTGCTCAGGCAGCGCGCAGGGCAGCCCGGGGGGCGGGGCCTCGGGCGGTGCGGCTGCGAGAGGACCCCGGGTGACGGCGGCGGCGCGACGGGAGCAAGAGGTGAGCGGGATCGGGACTGGAGCGGGACCGGGACCGGGACCGGGACAGGGACAGGAACAGGAACAGGAACAGGAACAGGAATCGGGACCTGGAATTGCAGCCTCCCCTCACCCCGCCGGCCCCGGGTTCCGCTGTGGGGCTGACGGGGCCGGGCCGGGCGGCCTCTGTATCACCGGGCTCTGACCGGAATTGTCACCTCAGAGAAGGAGTGGCTTCCGCGCTTTGCTGAGGATTTATCGTGCAGCAGTCACAGAGCTTTCACCTCTTTCACGAGCTCCGTAAAGCTCATTGTCATCCTTGAAGTGGAAAACAGGAAGGGGACACAGAATCCTTAGGAGAAATATATCTGATGGCTGTTTTCCTTTCGTTTTTCGCAGTGATCCTGAGGGAGTGTTGGTAGTTCCCCTTGGCTTTCGGCCCTTTCGTTCCCGAGGCAATGCCCAAAGTGAAGAGGAGCAGGAAGCCTCCCCCGGATGGCTGGGAGCTGATCGAGCCCACGCTGGACGAGCTGGATCAGAAGATGAGAGAAGGTGAGTGGGTGTTCTAAGAGATGGGGGACCCCAAAACATGCTCACAAAACCTACTTCATAAATACAGGTGGACCTTTTTTGTGTCTGTGCCTCCAGTGGTGCTGCAGGTTGTTCCTGAGCCATGCTGGTCCCTAATTTTGGGGTTCTGGAGCACAGAGCTTTGGTTACAGCTGGTTTAGGGATGAAGCTCATGGGTGTGTGGAGGAACTGGTAGTTCCTGTCCATGTTGTTGCTGTGGGCATGAAGTCACCCTCGATCCCAGTGTGGGTTTTGTCATCCCACTGCCATTGGTTTTGAATCCTAAAGGAGCTGTTCCAGGTCAGGTCCCTCTCATTTGTCTCTTCCCAATTAACCTCAATCTTATCCCTGTCATGCATGAAAGTTATGAACATTCTTGGAACAGTGCATTGCAAAGTGCTTGAGGGAAGCACTTGGTCACTTGGTGTTTGTGTTCCCTCCCAGCGGAGACGGAGCCACATGAAGGGAAGAGGAAAGTGGAGTCCCTCTGGCCCATCTTCAGGATCCACCACCAGAAAACACGTTACATCTTTGATCTCTTCTACAAGAGGAAAGCAATCAGCAGAGGTGAGGAGGGCAGGGGCTTTAGCTGGGGCAGGGGAAAACTGGAGTGAGTGAGGTGTTTACCTGTGGATGCCACTGAACTGGGAGTTGGTGGGATCACATTTCTGGGGAAGGAGAATGGAGAGAAGGCTTGGAAGCTGCCTGGCTTTACCTGCTGTTTACTACAGCTGGTACCCCCTGATAGTGAGACTGTGACAGCATCTGCTCCTCCCCAGAGCTCTACGAGTACTGCATCAAGGAGGGCTATGCTGACAAAAACCTGATTGCCAAGTGGAAGAAGCAGGGCTATGAGAACCTCTGCTGCCTGCGCTGCATCCAGACTCGGGACACCAACTTCGGGACCAACTGCATCTGCAGGGTCCCCAAAAGCAAGCTGGAAGTGGTGAGTGTCCAGCTTGTTCCTCTGCTCTGCAATAGCTGTTCTGACTTCTCCCAGCTCAGCAGAGTGGTGTTCTTTCTGCTAATTTCCTCAGCCTTTGCTGGTAGAATTGGTGTCCAGTTGGTGCCAAAGTTACTGTCAGCTTTGGCATTCATTTAAGGTTGTTAAAAGTATGGGAAATAACAGCAAACTGTGGAAACCCTTCCCACTCAGAGCCATTCCCTGCCTCGAGGTCTGAGCCTGCTGCTCTGGCTGTGGCTTGGCTGAAACATCCTGATGTTTGTTTTTCAGGGCAGAATCATTGAGTGCACTCACTGTGGATGCAGAGGCTGCTCTGGATGAAGCCTTTTGTCATCAAATTTATTTTTTGAACTCTGAGGGACATCCTCCTCCTCCTCCTCAATGGACTATGAGTGCAATTACAGCTGCTTTCTGTGATGGGGTATTTCTGTATAATAATTAAAGCAGCAGCATGATCACCTGGATTGTGCATAAATGGGGGGGTACTTTTGAGTAGGGTTTTGTGTAGCCATTTATTTTAAAATAAAGCTTGCCTTCCTGAGAGAGTGGTGTGATCTGCTGGTGAAACATTCCTGTGCCACTCTTCTCCTGTTGGATGTGTTCTGGGTGCTTGAACATTGCTCTGTACGTTGTGAGCTGCTCTGGGTTTCTTTCCTGAACTAAGTCCATTTAAAAGGCTGTGTAGAAAGGAAACAATTCCCAAACATTCAGTCTGAGTTCTTCCCTGACCATGTGCAAATGGAAGCTGCATTTCACTGGAATTCTCTGCTGAGGTTTGGAACCTGGAATTAATGCACAGATCCCTTCAGGAATGCCAGCAGTCCAGAGACTTAGAGGTCACATGTGAAGTGACAAGACAGACAAAACCAGCACTGAGCTAAACCCCTCTTAAATCTGATTTTACTTCTTCCTTGTTTTGCACAGGGTTTGCTAAACTACAGCCCATCTAATCCTCAGCAGTTGAAGGAAGTTCACTGAAAATGTATTTGCTCCTCCTTAAAACAAAAGGAAATATTTTATTATGTAACTATTGCAAGAACTGGGGGTTGGGATACACAAAGCAGCTTTGCTACAAGCCAGTTTAAAGAAGCAAGTCATGCATCTTCCTTGTGCTGGAAGAACTTGAAACTTCAGCATCCTGCTTCCTTTTCCTGCACAGCCTCTGCCTTGCTGTCCTGCCCCGCAGGCTTTGCTGTCCTGTACTTGGCCCAGGGGTGGGGGGTCTCCTCTGCAGCCATAACTTTTAACCACCGGTAGTAGTAGCCACGAAAACCATCAATCTTCTCTAGGTAGGGGTTTTTGTATTTATACTGCAAAGAGAAATCCAACAAGTTTCTATTAGATGAGAGCTCACTTCAGCATCAGCCTGCAGGAGCTACCACAGAAACAGCAATCAAGTATCATCAGCCAGACCAGACAAAGACACTCGGACAGACATTAATCATCATATTTACGATTCCCCTCCCTTGTTGGTGTCCTTTGTGATGCCTGCACAGCCTGACAGTCCTGGCTCCTTACCCTGTCAAATTTGGGAGGGTACTGTGCTGCAAACTCCAGCTGCCGGATGATCACTTCATTGGGAGGCACCTGGTTATTCCTCATGTCCCTCAGGATCTCTGTGAGGTAACTGTAATCCAGCTGCCTCACAGCAGCAGCAATCAGGGTGCTGTAGATGTACTTGTTGGGAGTTATTCCAGACCTCTGGAAAGAACAAATTCTACAGTTAAACAAGTTTATCTGCTGGCTAGTGCAGGATTTGCAGAAGGAAAAGGCAGAGGCACTTTTTACACAAGGAGCACAGCTCTCATCGCAGGACCTCTGAAGCAGCTTGTGCAGTGCCAGTACAGGTGCAGGACAGACCACCTGAGCTCCAGCTACTCTGGAGCTGCATGTTTTTGGGAAGAGAACAAAACCACTCTCACAAAAACCTCAGCTTTTAAAAGAATTAACACTTCACTTTGCCTTTTCCTGCAGCTCAGACTCCAAGCAGCAGTCTCTTTGATTACCTTCAAATCCAAGAGCAGCTGCAGTCCATCCTGCTGTTTGTGACAGGCAATTGCCAAGTTACAGAATGTCTGGAGGTTAGGTGACAGTCCCCTCTTCACCAGAGCTGGCAGCACGCTCTGCAAGACACAAGTGTTGGCATCACTTCCCAAAAATTGTTACTGTAGCTTTCCAGACAGGGAGCTGGATGTGCTAGAAGAGAATCCATAAACAGAAATTAACCCAAGCACATCCTTGTGGAAAACAGTGTGAGATCCCAGTTTTTACTGTGGACAGAGAAATGGGTCTCAGCAAAAGAGAGGCCTGAGACAAGGAGGTGGTGATGGGGCTGGTTCTGAGGTTTTTCTCTCACCTTTGCTCCTTCCAGGTCACCCTGCTTACTTCTCTTCCTCATTAAAGCATTAAAGAAGGTCACATCTACTTTTACTTTATGATCATCCAGCAGTGCCAGCAAAGAGGACTCTGAGGGGCTTTGGGGTTCTACCAGTTCAGCCAGTAATGTGAACGTTTTAATGTTGGGCTCTGCATTGTCCTCTTTCATTTTGTTCAAGAATGCCTCTACATCTCCCATCAGAGCCAGTCTATGGGATGGTGTGGCCACTGTCCCCAGGGAAACCACGTCTGTGTCAGCCACCCTGGAATCCAGCAAGTTGGGCAGGTTGCAGAAAGGCAGCTTCTGGCTTGGCTGTGGCTGTTCCTGTTCCATCTCACTCTGGGCTCTCCTCATCAAGGCTCCAGCCCTGCTGTGAGTGATGCTGGGGCTGTCAGGAGCAGCTGGTTTTGCTTCAGCCTGAGACACATCTTTATTTTGTTGCTGGATCTGTTCCTCAGGCTGCACCAAACTCTCCTGAAATAACTGCTTTTCCATAGCTTCCACATCCAGCTGGACAGCAGCACTCTCTGATCCCTTCTTCCTCCGATTTTTCACCTTTTCCTTCTGCCTGCCAGGTGGCAGCTTCAGCTGAGGTGAGTTCTCAGGTGGACTGAGCAGGAGTTTAGAAGCCAGAGCGAGATTGCCGATCCCACAGTCTCTGGCCGCGCGCAGCATCAGGTTGTAGATGTGGCTGTCGGCCTTTATTCCCAGCTTATTCATTTGTTGCCAAACCTGAAGAGAAGATGAATAGTAAATAGCAGGAGCATCTCTAGCAGCCTGTAAAAATCTGTTAATGGGATCTGTGTGAGAAGGAATGAATTTACAGCATGCAAGGACAGTGACCTTGAGCTGAAGAGCCCTGTGAGATGATCCAGGGTTATTTACCAGCATAAGAGATGTCCTGAGCAAAGTCTAGTTTTCAGAACTTGTGCTAGGAGGAGCTGAACTCCTCCCATTTCACTGTTTTCCATGTGTTCAGGTGATGAGTTACAACACAGCAGCACTTTCCCCCCCTCCCAGAACTTGAGAACAAACCTGCAAGGCAAATCGGAAGCCGTTTTCACTGTCCTTTATGCAGCTCATGAGAAGGAAGCTGAAGGTCTCAGCTGTGGGGACATGGCCCTTCTGCACAACTTCCTGAAAAGAGCAGAGAGCATGAAACTTTCTGGTTATCCTGTGTGGCAAAGCTCAAATACCACTGCCATCTCCTGGAGATAGATGTAACAAGTTTTGGACACACCCAGCCAGTTTTAAAGCCAAAGCTGCCTCCTTTTTGGTAATTAAGCTTAGAGTTCGGTAGGTACAATTTCACTCTATGACAGTAAGATCAATGAAACAGAACCACAGGATCTGTAATTATCTCTGCTGAAAATGCAATTAAAACCTGATGCAACATGACAACTTCCAGGAGCTTTAACCACAGCACAGAATAGGTTTAACAGGAGAAAAGTAACCTATTTACCTTGAGTACATCCAAGCACATCCTGAGGTCTGAGCAGAGGGCACAGACCTTCAGCAGGGCATGGTAGGTGATGAGGTTCAGCTCCTCGTTCTTGCTCTGCAGCTGCTGCCGCAGTTTCAGGGCACTCTGCAGCCCCGAGTCCTTCCATGGAGACTCAGCACAGGCATTGAACAGGGCTGTGTAAGTGGCCTCAGTGGGGATTAACCCTCGTTTTTTCATCTAAAGGAAGAGAAGAAGGATTTGAACTGGCCTTTTTGCAAAAGGACGGCTTGAATTTTTTAACTTGTTTTTAAGAGTTTCAGGCTAAGAAGGTGCCAACACTAAGGAAAAGGCATTTTGGAGACAAAGTAATATGACTGAATACTTGAAATGCTTTTAGCTTATAAAATGCTTAGAGGGTGAAGTTAAACCTACATCATTGTAGAGCCTGAATGCCTTTTTCACGTAGCCAACCCTGCCACAGCCGCCAATGAGAACAGTGTAATTGCCTTCTTCTGGCTGGACACGCTCCTCCTTCAGCATCTGCACTTCAAACAGCTCCAGAGCCTCTGCCAGCTACAAGGATGAGAAAAATCCATCATGAGGCAGCAAGAGAATCAACTACAATGGATATTAATATATGCAGCTGTGGGCAGATTGTAGTGTGAGTCCTACAAAGTGGCACTTTTTTAGTCATAAGAAGTCTGGAGAGGGTCCTTAGATGAGGGCATGTGGCAACAGGACGGGGGGGAATGGCTCTAAGCTGACAGAGGGGAGATTTAGGTTAGATATTGGGAAGAAATCCTTTACTGTGAGGGAAGTGAGGCATTAGCACAGGTTGTCCAGAAAAACTGTGGCTGCCAGTGGATCCCTGGAAGTGGCCAAGGCCAGGTTGGACAGGGCTTGGAGCAATCTGGGATAGTGGAAGGTGTCCCTGCCCATGGCAGGGGGTGGAAATGGATGAACTTTAAGGTCTCCCAAACTAAACTGTTCTATTACAATTCTACAAGAAATTCTTATTTTACTTCTTTCTGTAAAGATACCAAGTGATAAAGACAGGTCAGATCTGCATCTTTCATCAGTGCTATTAAAATCAAGACAAAAGCTGGGCTCAAACCTTGTTCTCTTTGATGAGGGCCTTGCAACGTAGGAAGTACCAGTATGGAGTGTTCTTAGGACCCCGTCGAGGTTTTCTCTCTGGTTCTTCTCCTTCTTCTTGAAGCTTTAAATCCCGAAAGCGCGCTGTGGTTTTGTGGTAATATTTTCTAGAGGAAAATTTATCAGTCAGCGTCCCGAACTCCACACCATCATCATCATCATCATCACCCTTCTGCTCCTCAGCAGTTCCAGCGGAGCTGCCAGCACTGATCTCTCTCGGGTCGCTGCCGGGCAGTTTGCAGGAGGCCCGGGAGGAGCTGCACGTTCTGCAGCCCGGCAGCGGGCCCTGGCCTGGGGGCCGAGACAGCAACAGCACCTGCTCGGATCCAATCCCGGGGGCTGCGCACCGCTCCCGCAGCAAAACGGGAAAGGCGTGGCGGCACCAGCGGGGGACGAGGAGCCGCAGGGAGCCCATGATGTGCTCGCTGTCCAAGAAGGGAACGGGTCCGGAGCGGGACCGGGAGTGGGAGCAGAACCCGGACCGGCCCAGCGCTCACACCATTCCCCCTCACCCCGCCCCTGACCCAGCGGCGCCTGCGCGCACGGAAGGGGCGCGTCCTCGGCCGT